TTTACGATGGAGAGTTGCATGGGTTATGACCTCGGTTTTGGGGTGGGACTTACTAAAAATTGTAGCATAGTGTGTGCCAGGGAGTCAAGCATTGGCATTAGTTAGAGCAGTGATGGCGAGCCTTTTTGGCAACTAGTGCCCAAACAGGAAGGTGCCTGCATGCATGTGCGCATGCTGTAGCGCCGGAAACCCGAAGACCAGCTGGCTGGCGTGCGCATGCCTTTTTTTGGCTGTTTTCAGGGCCATTTCAGGCCGTTTTGGGGGGCTGTTTTCAGTTTGGTTTTGGCCGAAAAATGGTCTGTTTTTTGGGGCCAGTTTTTGGGCTGTTTTCTGGTGCTCTGGTGCCCGTGAAGTCCAGCATGCATGCTGGAAACCAGAAGAGCAGTTGGTGACGGCACACGTGCCCACAAAGAGGGCTGTATGTGCCACTTCTTGCACACGTGCCATAGGTTCACCATCATGGAGCTGTAGTCTCTAGACCAATGCTGAATTGTGATTTGTTTCCTTTATTGGTATAGAACAGGGGTGTCAAACTGAATTTCTTCAAAGGCTGAATCAGCATTGTAGTTCTCTGCAGGCTGGGAGGTGTGGGGGGGGAGGCAGGATGGCCCCCTGTTGCAGCACCCTGCCAGCCAAAATGAGGCATAGGGAGGCTGCGCGCAGCCCCCCATGCCCCATTTTTGGCCTGCACTGCCTCCTGCAGCACTTTGCCGGGCAAAATTGGGCCGGGGGGGGGCGCACGTGGCCCCTCCTCCCCCTGTTTTGGCTGCCAGAGACGCCACTGGCTGATCCTTTCCTATTTCCAGCCCAGTTTGCAGGCCACATTTAAGCACTCCTGGTATAGAGATTGGAGGAATGGGATAGATTACAACTGCTTCTGTAATCTTACAGTCTGATCACCATTTGGCTTTTTTTATTATCCTTGGGACTATTTCCCACAGTTATGGTTGATAGCTCTACTGAATGTCTAAACATTGTTGAAATATTGATATGATTCTAGATTAATCACAAAAATACTCACTATCATCTAACTGGGAAAGCAAATTAAGGCACCCTGTTTCTGAAGCCTGTTAAATAACAAGATAAACACGTGGTGATCATCCTCATCTGCAATCATCATTAGACACAGGTAGGACTCAATTTGGAGACATAGGATGTATTTGTAATACAGGTAGTCCTCTACTTAACAATAGTTCCTTTACTGACCGTTCGAAAGTGACATACAACTATCTTTCATACTTATGACCGTTGCAGGCAATCCCCATGGTCATGTGATTTACATTCAGATGTTTGACAACTGGTTCATATTTATGACAGTTGCAGTGTCTCTGGGTCATGTGACCCATCTTTTATGACAAGCAGAATCAATGGGGAAGCTAGATTCACTTACAACGGTGCTATTAGCTTAACAACTGCAGAGTTTCACTTAAGAAATGTGATAAGAAAAGTTGTAAAACTCACTTAACAAATCTCTCACTTAGCAACATAAATTCTGGGCTCAATCATGGTCGTAAGCCGAGGACTACCTGTAGTGCTAAACAATCTAGTATCTCCCCTAACCTGCAGTGCACATTGCCTTCCAGCAGAGCTTTTTTAAGTGGCAAAAATGAAAGTTCTGTTTAGGATCCGACAGCCAGATGAATCTTTAAAGGCTTACTCAGTGTGATTTAAATGATATTTGCAGATAAAATTGTTCCAGTTAACTCCAACTTGAATATCATTGTTATGATAGACACTCAAGAAGGATGATGTTAGGTTTCCATTTAGTCATATTTGGATAGATTTTAGCTTGTGCTCTTTGGTTGATGTGGACAAATCTTTATATTGACTTCCCTATTGATTCTTCAGTGTAATCAGTACATTAAGAAAACTTTTCAGCAGCCTTCAGGAACACAGTGTTATACAGGTAGTCCTCTACTTACAACAGTTTGATTAGTTATTGTTCTAAGTTATAAGGCCACTGAAAAAAAGTGACATGGCCGTTTTTCACACTTACAACTGTTGCAGCACTCGCATGGTCACATGATCAAAATTCAGATGCTTGATGACTGGTTCATACTTACGACCGTTGAACAGAGGTGGGTTTCTACCAGTTTGGACCGGTTCGGCCAAACCAGTAGTAACTTGGTGGCTGGGTCGCTGGAACCGGCAGCGACCCAGGCCTGCCGCGCCCCTAAACCGGTTGTCCTGGCGGCGCCATCTTGTTTTTGCCTCCTGCGCATGCACAGCAATTTTTGTTGCACTACAGATGCGCATGCACGCCGTGTCCCTGAGCAAACCGGCAGTAGTGGCAGCCGGAACCCACGCCTGCAGTTTAAGTGTCCTGAGATCATGTGATCACTTTTTGTGACCTGACATGGAAAGTCAATGGGGTAACAACCTGTTACTAACATAACAACTTCAGTGATTCACTTAACGACTGTGACAAGAAAGATTGTTACTTTCAATTCTCCACTAAGCCAGGCTCCTTCCTGATTCCTTGTTGCTCACACAGCAAATTTCAGAGTCGAAATAGCCCTCATTGGCTGACTTAGTTGCTATGCCTATTCATTGGCTGACCTTGTTACCATGTGTCAGCTTAATACCATGGATGCTGGTAGGCAGAGGCAGAATTTTTTTCCTTCTTATTTTCTCCCCCAAAACTAGTGTGTCTTAGACTTCGGAGCGTCTTATGCTCTGAAAAATACGGTCTTTCCTTTCTTACATTCTTTGACTTAATTCAGACATGAGAGGAAAACTGTGGTGGAGGAAGAAAGGTATATATGTGGGGATGAATCATCACAGAGACTGGATTGCAAGCTGTGTGATAAAAAAACAACATTGAAGAGTTTGCTTGGAAGTACTACAAGCAATGATACTGAAGATGACATTAGTTACCAAGGTTTGGGGCTTTTTTTAGAAATGACTGGTACTTGTCAGCTGTATGAAATTTGATAAAGTCCAGTTAGAGTAAATGCCTATGGAGTTTCTCAATCAGCCTGCCATGGTTGTCCCAAAGGTGATTTTTTTTCAAAAGGCAACTGGACTTTCTTGGTTTGTTTTCTTTGCTTTTCATCCAAAAAGCTTTTCCAGTTCTAACTAATTGGTGGCGAATGGAAGGATTTATATTGTTTGCAGTCAGCCTGTTGTTAGCACTCAGAGTCATTGAGGCCACTTGGGAATTAATCTATATCCTCAGAGTCACCTGAATGAGAGTGCAAACGAGTGAAGATTCTTCTTGAGACTGCTGAAAGGACAGAGTTGTAAACAGGAGATAGATGGTGTTGTATCCTTTCCTCCGTTGGGGGAAGCCTGTTCAATTTTGCTTTGAATCACTTGGCAAGATAATTATTTATAAAAGCAATGACCAAGCGCAGCATATGACAATTACAGAATAGTAACTTGAATGCTTCCTATGGTTAGAAAAAATATATTTACAATACATAAAAGGAAGGCTGGAACATCTGGACAATTCAGAAACATCTGGATAGTTTATAATAGACCTGGAGTAAATTCTCTCTTCTCTCTCTTAGCAGCATTAGGGATCGCTTAGTGGCAGGGGTAACCCTGAGAAAGGAGGGTTGAAGGAAGATACCAATAGTCCTCCAAATAACTTGCACTTAAACTACTTTAGGGCTTTAAAAGTCGTAACTACCATTTTAACTATGGCAGCTCAGTCCTATATATCAGGGGTCCCCAACCCGCTTGCCCGCCACTTGCATGGGACCATCCCCTGTTCCTCCCCCTCACCAGTCCGCAAAGTACAGAGGAGTTTATATGTGGGGTTCATGTAGTGTTTGACTATATGCTTCTATGGGAACAAAGAGGAAATTTCTACTATGCCCTAAAAATTAAAATGCAGCTTTCCTTCCATAGCCTAATGAAAACAAATCCTGCAGCAAACAACAGTATCTGCAAGCACGAGCAGAGTGTGCCTTGAGATGCAATTTATTTTAATATAAAATAGATCTGGTCAGCACCACAAGAATCATTACAGGCCGCCTGGTTGTTCGAGGCTTGAAGACAGTTGCTGTTATTTGGGAAATTCTTCTAGAATGAAATATGCAGCAACTTTGCTACACTTAAAGTGCATGTTGGAATTACCTTGGATTCACATTGGGAGTTGGTTAGGGCATGGTGGTGTGGTTGAAAAAACCAAAGAGGAAAGGTGGGAATTTCATCAAATAAATGCAGCCATCTGTTGGATTACTGTATTCTGCCTATATATTTTTCTGTTTATTTCAGATTAAAACAGCTTTTAATGGAAGGTTCTTTACATGACAGACAGCACCTAAATATTTCTTTATGCCTTCATCTTTCAAAACACAATAACCCCTTTGTTATCAAAAGTTTCCCCATTTTAGTGAAACATGCAAATTCTTTAGTAGGTAGAAAATAGATCAGGCAGTTGTTCTTTGAAGCACAAAGCAATATCAAAAGTGTGAAAAATCTGAGAAGTCTTTTGCATGCCATAGATAGAATTTAAGGACAAAATCATTTTAGGCCCAAAGCAGTTTCACCTATTATGTGTCTCTGATTTCCAAGAATTTGAGTTGTTCCCTGTATTATGGAAAGATCGTAGATGTTGTGAACTTCTGTTCCTGGGAGACTGTTTTGCTTCTTAGCTGGCTTGATCTTAGCTGATTTCTAGAATGGGATGTTATGGACAGATGCATTGGTGGTGACTTGAATTATATTAAATTCATGTTTGACTAATTACTGATGCAGAATTAAGTAATATCGGGGAGTTCTAACAAGGATTTATCAATTTTCTATTAACGAAACTTTTGCTGAGTAGATCTCTGATAAAACTGATTTTTCTGTAGACATTTAGCACAAAGCTTTAATCTTTACTCTAGTTGGGAGAACTAGCAACAGAATCAATGCTGTCCTTTTTTGTAAGTTAAAGGTTGAGTAAATGTTTTTTTTTTACAAGTGTAAATTTACATGAGAGCATTGCAGCTTCACTTGATCACTTAGATTTTGTAAGGTAACTTCTGGTTTGTTTTTAAAATTTTTAGATATGGGAAAATTGTATCTACGAAAGCTATTTTGGATAAAACAACAAACAAATGCAAAGGTATGTTCATTCTTAATTCCTTTTTCAACTTTGATTTTAAAAATCACGTATAATTATTTTTTCCCCATTTTAATGTATGGTAGCTTTGTATTACATTGAACCATTTCTCCTTACCACAGTTGCAACATACGCTTTGGGTTTTATCTCTCAGGTATTGTTACCAACAAAGTTCATAAAGGCAAACCTTTTTAGTTGTCGTTCCCTTCCTCTGAAGTGACATTCTCCCCAAGAGCCACATGACCCTTCCTTGGATGATAATATGATTGATTCTTTGGTTATTTTATCTTTATTATATATTATTTTGATCTTATTTACAAAGCTGCTAAGTGTCAGCAAAAATTGGTCTATAAGGCCAATAAATAAATATTTTTTTAAAAAATACTAAAGCCCACATAGATGCTTAGGATAACTCCAGACAGACTTAACTGGTATGCCACTGTGTAGCATTGAGCCTCTTGTTTCCGAAAAGAAAGGGGAGTTTGAACATGAATTTTCCTTGCCTGCTGAGATGAGTACCATTTGACTGTACAAAGTATCCAGAAAGATTACACATTGTGTAAATTGGCTTTATTAATTAGAATGGGTGAGTGTTAAGTAGTTCTTAATTGCATGTTCCAGTCCCCTAATTGTGTTTGTGTTCTGTTCGTTTGGAATATAATGGAGAGAGGGTGAAAGGGTTTCATTTTCACTGGCATAATTATAGGTAGGAAAAATAATAAACTTCTTTCTTTGAGACACTGAGTACATTAATTTGGTTTGGTGACCTTCAGCATTCTCTGTGATTATGATTAGATCACTTCCTTATGAAATGAGTAGTAAGAATACAATACCAAACCCTCACATACTGGGTTTTAGTCCTACTTTCCAAAAGCAGATGAATGCTTTCTAATCAAGGGAAAATTCAGCCCAGTCAGATTTTCCATAGTATGCAAGTGGATTTTAACCTCAAGAGACCTATTAATCTAAAACTTGTATTTTTCCATATTATATTTTTGTTCTCGATTCATGGTTAATGTTAGAAGTATTTGTTGAAAGATGTGCATAGAAGTAAAAAAAAAAAGATGCTTAAATTAACTACAGTCCTAGACTAACATAACTAGGAATAAGCCCCACTAAATTCATTAGAACCTGTTTTTGAGTAGATATGTGTAGGATTACATAGTAGTGTTGTATATATTTACTATTTCTCTCCCCTCCAAAATTTTACTGCGCAGCATATTCTAGTTTTCTAAATGATTGCGTACAATTTATTAATTATTCTTTTTTTAAACAAATGGTACCCTATTTTGGGCAGTGGGCTAGAACTAGCATTGGCCTTATTATCAAGACATGTCATATTTTCGGGGAAACACGGTATTTGAGATATATCTCTTCTCTTGCTTGGCCTTCCCAAGTTCTGAATTTTTGAACTCAGAAAATGCTGAGCCTGGAGACCATTGCAACAAGCAGAAGGTAGTTTCTTTTTCTCTGCACACTGCTTTAGAGGAGAAAATGAAAATAATAAATTAGGAAGAATCAGGACAGAATATTTGTCGAATATCACTTCCCTTATCAAAGAAGTTATTCAGCTGTGCCTTGTTTCATTTTGCACATCAGAAATGAAATCATAGCCTTGTGTTAATTTTTGTAATTGTAATCTGTTACTCATCTCAATCAATACAGTATAATCATAATCAAGATGCTCTTTAAGTTCAAATGTCTTAATATGGTAAATAGTCAACTTTTCCTCTGTTTGCCTATGTAATCTGAGAATTAAGATGCCTCTCCAAAACAGCAAGCAATTATATTGAAAACAGCATATTTGGACATATTAAATATAAAAGGGTAGTACATGGTCCTCAAAACTAAACTAGGTTTTTTTCTAGACTAGTATAACCAAAATATGACCAGTAACAAGTTTGGGCGAAAAAGTTACTGTCTTCCACCCAATCCATAAATCAATCAAATCAAATATTTATTAAAATCAAACTCAATACCTAGATCATTTTTAAAAAAAATATCTTAGATATGCATTCTTATTTAATATTAATTAATTACATATAGCTAAAGGGTTTATCTTTTTTGTAGGAAGAAACTCTTGGCAAGAGTTTAGGGAGCCACTGCAATTTCCTTACTGAATGTTGTGTAGGTGGCATCATTGTTTTTATCTAGTCTTCCTTTCCATTTCAGCTCCTAACCTTCCCATATTACAGGTAGCCCTTGTCTTACAACCACAGTTGAGCCCAACATTTTTGTTGTTAGGTGAGACAATTGTTAAGTGAATTTTGCCCCATTTATGATCTTACTTGCCACAGTTGTTAAGTGAATCAGTACAATTGTTTAGTTACACGGTTGTTAAGTGAATCTGGCATCCCCATTGACATTGCTTATCAGAAAGTCACAAAAGGTGATCACATGACCCCAGGACACTGCAACAGTCATAAAAATGAGTCAGTTGCCAAGCATCTCAATTTTGATCACATGATCATGGGGAGACTGTAATGGTTGTAAATGTGAAAAACAGTCATAAGTCACTTTTTTTCAGTGCCATTGTAACTTTGAATTGTCACTAAATAAACTGTTATAAGTCGAGGACTACCTATACTCTAGAACAGGGGTCCCCAACCTTTTGGACCTCAGGGACCACTAAATTCATAATTTTAAATCCTGCCGACCACTAATGTGATTTGCGTAATGACTGCCTGGGTGGGTGTGGCTAGGTGGTCATGTGACTGGGTGGGCGTGACCAACTCAATGTCACTCACATCGAGGGACCCCTCGCTGGCCTCTACTCGCCCCTCTCCTCCCAGCCACTCCTTGCCGGGGCCCCAAGAGGAAGCAGTTGTTGGCGCTAAGCAGCCATCGTGAGAAAGAATTGGCAAAACAGCTGGCTCAATTCAAATTGGATCTGACCAAGAAGGAAGCTCAGCAGAAAGATCTCACTGAGGACTACAAGCATAGGCTTTCCAAGCAGCGGGAAGATCTGCGGGAGTGCAAGGCCAGGTACCGGTGCCTGGAGGCTCAGCAGGCTGACATAGCCAGCCAGTTCCAGGCCATAATACAGTCCCCTGGAACAAGGCCCTATGGTTCTTCACTACCAGCGGTGCTTCCCTTCAGCCTTCGCCAAAAGGCCCACACCAGGAGGATAAAGCAGACACCAAGTCAGAATTTCTGCCCCCCCTTTGACCCTCCTCCTCTCCACATATCCGGCCCAGGGGTTATAGTTTGAGGATCCCTGATTTAGTGCAATATAAAAACTGCAAATAATTTTTCTGCAGACCATCAAAATTTTCTCACAGACCACCATTTGGTGACCGCTGCTCTAGAGGGTCCCCCAAGAATACAAAGTCAATGTAAATCTAGGAGGGAGCATGGATGTCAGCAAAAAATTATTCTCTTCCTCACGCAACGAACAGAGTTATGGACCACTAAACTCCAAGCTGTAATCCCTTCATGCAATGTCAGAGTCAGTGTATAGTCACCTGTTCCTGTACATATGATAAAATTACATTTTGGACATTTGGATATTTAAGGGAAGTTTGTAATAAAAATGATTTTTGTAGAAAGATTTGAATTTTTTTTTAAAAATGTTAAATTCACCAAGTTTTTTTAATTTGTACCCTTGCCCAGTCATTTATTTCAAATTAACCTTGGACCATTAGAAAAGTTTTTGAACTATTTCTATGACATTTACTACCTCAATGAGCTATAAGCCCATTAAACATGCTATATGAGAAATTAAACTCGGGGGACTGGATTTAAATTATGAAAAATTAATATTATTGATGAATAGCAATACTTATTCATTCTCCCAACTTGTAATATTTTATTTAATTCAGCTTGAATGTTTCCCAACTCTTATCTTAAGAGTCCTGAAGATCACTTTCTAAAATATGAATACAGGAAATCCCAAATATTCTTAGTACCACTGCCACATATACTATAAGTGGTGATAAAGTCATTTAATTTCGTATACATGTGGTCCAGATGTCATTTCCCCATTAAATGTATTGAATTTCTTATTCAGATTTTGACCAATTCTATTCAGTCTTCAAATTTGCCCAATTTGTGAAGACGCAAATCCAGTTTTTCATAATGATATTGCAGTGCACAGCAGGACAAGGAATCTTAGTATAAATAAATTTCAGCCGTTTTCTTCAAGAGGAGGAGATGTCACCATTTCAGCTTATGAAATGTCAATAGCACATTCAGTGGATGAGTAATGAGAGAGTATATTACTCATAAAATGGAGATTGAAGAGTAGCTGTTCATAGTCAATGTGAGTGATTATAAATATTATGTCATGAATGGAGTATGCTGCAATAAATAAACAATGGCATCCAGATAGACATCTCAAGTCTACCAAGTTTTTAACAATGTGATGCCCTTTTCAAATTAACTTTTCATTTAGTTGTAGCTTACATTAGTGATTTATAGTAAGATTGGTATTCAGGAAACTATTTCATAGGCAGTTCTAATTCTGGCATCCCAGAAACTAAGTTATAAGCACCCTTAAACTAAATCTGAGATTACTCTGTTATGAACATACCAGAATTAGTTACTGTTATTCTTTTGCTAATACAGTTTATTAAACTAGCACATATGACTGGATTTATAGCCATGACTGTGTTTGCTTGCTTTCTTTTAAAGGTTTACATGATTAATCTGCCGTAATAAACTGTAGCCTAAAAAGGAATAAAAATAGACTATACTTTTATTAAACCCACAACATATTCAATTGCTTACACTAGGCAAACTACACTTTTATTTCTTTCTTATACATACTGGGTTTGACCTTTTGATCTTCTTAACTTTAAGCATTTTTTTCTTTATTATCAAAGGAGATTTGGTTATAATATTAGTTTAATATTATTTTCCTAACTAGCGTTAAAAACTGATGATATTAAGCTGACAGTAAATAGAAGTCTTATATTTTGGTGTCATGGGGAAAGTTTTCATAAGAAAACTCAACAGACAGACCTGTGGTGGGTCCGGATCCCGTTGCAACTGGTATGATTGGAACGGGCCCAGCGGCGTCCACCTGGATGCGCACAGCACACACATGCATCATACCTGCCACTAACGCCTCCGCGATGCTCCAGCTGCTCAGCGGAGCGTCACGCAGGCTCTGTATGCGCCATGCGTGTGTTCGGAAGCACTGAAGGCTTTAAAGGACAGGTAAGGAGCTTGGGTGGGCCCTCCAGAGCACCATACCAGAACGGTACCCAATGCTCCGGGCAGGCTCCGGTACGCCCATATTGGGGCGTACCCCCTGCAACCCACCACTGAGAGAGACCCAATATTGATTCAGAAGAAGAAACTTATTTTGGTCAGTGACCAGTAAATAGCAAAGTGAAATGTATTATGATACAATAAGTGGTCAATGCAACTGTGATTGCAGTAATAAAATGGAACATAAAATTACAAACATTAAACCTGTAAAATCAATAAGTAATCAAAATAACTAAACCTAAAAGGAATCTTTTATCTTAATACATTTGAATTAATATTTATGTTAATGCAACAAAAATACTGACAATAGACAATCAATGATTAGTTACAGTTAAATAAGCTAAAATATAGAGTAATAAAACCATGAATGTAAAATACTAGGGTACTCTGCTCTCACAAGTAATTGTGCAATTATTCCATTTCATTGTTTGCCGGTAATATAATAGTATTTAGCAATTTTTATAGAGACTGTAGCGATTTGATGAGAATGTAAATACCTGAGTTAAAATCAATCTGGATGGCCTGGATAATTTGATACTAACTATGTCAAATAGCATGTACAAATATCCTGATAAAATGAAGAATATAGAAGAAACTGGGCAGTTGTTTCAACATGATCCTTCCACATGGAAAGCCATTTATGAAAAAGAATTTTCTTATGCCTCTTTCTCACGACAGCTGCAGGCAAAACATTAAATTTGCCAATATCATAGTTTACATTTGGATATATTAATCTCCCTCAATTACCTGGCTGAACTAAGGTTAAAGGGCTAAGCATCCACATAGACCACTACTGGCCCATAGGATTGAGCTTATTTTTGTCTATCAATTATTCTCTGCCCTATCTTGGCTTTGGCTTGACCAAAATTATGACTAGTAAGGCTTCCAAAGAGTAGTCATAGTGATTCAATTTATGGAGCTTTTCCGTGCTTTTGCTGATAAATTTATCAGAAATCGGAGGGATTAGACCACTACTATTTGAGCTGTAGTTCAGGGCATCATTATTGTATCAATCCTGAGTGCAACAGTTTATAGATGGATTATAACATTGGGTATACATTGTGGTACCAGGAAAATATTTCTGAAAAACAGGCTGAAGGAATTTCATCAATGATATGCAGTGGTGGGATTCAATTTTTTTTTACTACCAGTTATGTGGGTGTGGCTTGGTGGGCATGACATGGCTTGGTGGACGTGGTAGGAGAAGGATACTGTAAAATCTTCATTCCCACCCCACTCCAGGCGAAGGTTACTGCAAAATCCCCATTCCCTCCCGATCAGCTGGGACTCGGGAGACAGAGAATAGATGGGGGCGCAGCCAGTCAGAGGTGGTATTTATCGTTCTCCAGAACTTTGAGCTACTCAAAATTTCCGCTACCGTTTCTCCAGAACTGGTCAGAACCTGCTGAATACCACTCTGATGATATATTTTTAGAATCATGAAAACTTGGAAGGTGAAATAAGTTTAAGGCATGATTACTTATAAGTTTCTAAGAAAACTAGGATGTAGGAGAATCAGCTTCAGATCTTCCATTCAGACATGACATTTGCTGAATGGCATTCAATAAATCCTTCCCTGTAATTTCTAATGAGATCATTATGAGGACAAAATAAAATATTCATATATTGTAATATGCCTCCAGTTCTGTACCTTTAAGTAGAATGAAAAGTGAACATTTTTTATTAAACAAAATTCTTTTAAATTTTAGGTTATGGTTTTGTGGACTTTGATAGTCCAGCTGCAGCTCAGAAAGCCGTATCTGCCCTGAAAGCCACTGGAGTTCAAGCACAGATGGCAAAGGTAAGATAATGTACTAGGGAAAGATCATTGGGTAGCATTGGTACAATCTAAATAGTATCTAAAGAGAAAAGAAGACTGTACTTAGATTAATCATCAAACTATTGCATTGTCCATCTGTCTTCAACCAGGCTCTACCTTTATAAAATCTGGAAGCAAGCTGTTAAGACTTGCTGTGTTCCAACGTAATTTTGTTTAGGCTCCTGTGTTAATTTGCTTAGCTTGATCCATAGCAGTGTTCCACACCATAGCCATTTTCAGCTGTGTCCAGTTCAATACTCAGAATTCTCCATAATTTCTGTGTGGCTGCAGTACTCTGCAACTTCGATCCATGTACCTAGAAGTGGCCATGATGAAGAAATGTTGACCTACAGCCATATAAACCTTTCCTTACAACAACATATTTCTTAAAATAAAAAGTGTCATTAGGGATAATAGTTCAAATTGTGTTTGTGTTCAACTGCTATATAAATGTTTAACACTATTTTGAAAATGAAAGTTATTTATTCATTGTTTTAGAGTCAGATGACTAGATTATTTATTTTTATTTTTCCTTTATTATTTTTTTAAAATAAGGCAGCGAACATACATAAAACTCATTTTCCCCACCATAACAACCCCGTTGAGGTGTGGGTTGGGCAGAGATAGAGTAACTGGCCCTAGAGTCACCCAGATGGCTTTCATGCCTAAATCAGAACGAGAACTCAAAAGTCTCCTAGACAGTAGCCTGATGCCGAAACCATAGACCACTAGCTGAATAAATTAAATTCTAAGTTTAAATTTAAAATGGAGACTTTCTGTGTGCTTATTGAAGGACTTATAAAGTGAACCAACCATTTAGGCTCTGGTAATAACAGACTTCAGTGAACTCAGCAATGCTTACTTCCAAAGACAAATGTATAGTATCACACAGTAAATTGAGTGTCTCATGTATGCCTCTACTTACAGAGCAAACTATTATCCTTGGAAATGTTCTACTTGAGATTATTTGATTTTGTAACCTTGGACCTATAGTTCTTGATACTGTGGCTGCTGTAAAGAAACTAAATGATTTCTCACTGGTCATTTACCAAGTCATTACATAGCTATCATAAGGCCCAGCTTTCTTCAAAGGGATCTTTTATATATATATAGTGCAAATTACACACAAAAGAAGAAGCTTGTTTTGGATCAGGGCTACTGGGTAGGACAAAACATTACATTGCAAATCCCAATGAGCCTTCCCATCACTACTTTTAATAAGGGAGGAAAATTGATGCATGCAGTTTAAAGATAGTTTGTAGATAGTCCAATATAAGATGCTGGAAACAAAGACCATGAAGGCTATTTTTTTTAACTTGTAATTATTCTCATCTGTTCCATAAATGGTGAAGGGCCATATGGAGAAAGAGACATGTTGCAAGTCTTGAATAATACATTGATTGGCCCATTCTATTTCATTAGAGCCGATGTACATTGAATCTCTTGTTGAAAATGGCAGGCACGTCTTGTCCAAACACTTAGTAGCTCTCCTTTTAGGATGCCTCCTTTCAGCTTGTTTGCTGTTTTGAATTTTTAAGTCATTTGTAGTTATTATGTTTTAGAAAGATTAAATAGGGGCCAGACGCAGCCTTTTTATAATATTAGTCCTGTTCCCAAGTGTAAAGTATTGCAGCATTTTCAGTGGTGCTGTGTTTTCCCTAAGATGCTCAGCTGAGGAACAGTAGAGCTAATAGAAATGTCCTTGGATGAATTCCAGGAAAACAAAATGTAAACCATATGTGTATTAATGCATATTTTATCACATGCACAAAAATATTTGCTCTTTCTGAAGTCAAATGCAATGGTGCCTTGTTCTTTGGGTCTCTTTGTTAATGGTTGTGTCAAAATAAAGCTATTTACACAGGTCTCCAGAGGTCTTCTCACTTGCTATTATGACTGTTATAAAATTTATATCTTGCCATATTCAAACCACTATAGCTGATTCACAGTTATAAAAGCATACAAACAGAATTAAGGGCTACAAAACTATACAATTTCATGAAATCTGGTTAAAATTAAATTTCCAAACCTAAATTGCACCTTATTATCCATCATTACTGAGAATGATCAAGAAAATAAGCAATCTAAACGTCAAATAACTGGAAAAAGAAAACCATTGTTATAGACATCCTAAAAGATGACAGTGTGGGTATAGATATTATCACATAGACAGGATGGCCACTGAGAAGGCACGTCTTCAAGATTTCCACCCCATCTCTTAGAGGAGGCAGATCCGAAATACCCTTTTCCATGCAGAACACACAATTCAAACCCAATAATACTTAGAAGTACAAGCATGTAGAACTTTATTAAACCAGCACTATGAAACCTAATGATAACTAATGCAGTGCACACAAAACTGGTAGCACCAAACTGAAGCCTGCCTTTACCTGCTCCAGGTAAGCAGGTTCTAAACCATTTGTCTTGCATCATGAGGACAAAGACATAAGTAAATATTGCCAAGGCCTTAGCTGAATCTGGGTTATGACTCCCTGACCAGAGATTCTACCTGGTGGCTAATCATTAGTTGTGGTCCAAAAGAACCTCCAGGCTCCTGCTTTGGAATGTGTGTATGTGATCCCATCCAAGACCAATAGCAGAACCAGCATGATTCAGATGAATCTTACCTCCATCTTTTCTTTTAGTTTATTTTGTACGATCCAATCCCTCATAGCCTCCATACTATGTGAGGCTCTCCACTGCATCTCCACATCAGCCCAGGTTTGGGAAGTACAACCGGTTATCATCATTGTATTAAAGAGACCTCATCCCAAACTAACAGATGACCTCTTCCATCAATTTCATACCAAGGTTAAATTGCAGGAAGAGAGCTCTGAGACCTGTGGCACCCCACAAAGCAGTAGCCTGAAATTCAACCACTCATCTTCCAACATTACTGTCCAAAACTACCTATTCAGGAAGGAGTAGAACTACTGTAAAGGAATGGCCTTTCTCCCAGACCCCTCATTGCATCTTAACAGGTTCCTGTTAAGATGCAATGATTGGCAATATCAAATTGTTCTGAGAGTTTTACAGAGCTGAGAGGACTATATTCCCTTTATCTAGGACACAACAAAGGTTATTGAATAAAATGTCCTAATTTGCATTCACTTGAAAGAGATTGAGATAATCCATTTTATATAGGAGATTGTACGTGATGCACTTATATAGTGGGATCCATTTTCTTACTCATAACATTTAAAGCCTTGACTTTATTATATAGTTATATATTTCCTAGTTTGAGGCATTTAAGCATCTCTCTCTCTCTCTCTCTCTCTCTCTCTCTCTCTCTCTCTCTCTCTCTCTCTGTGTGTGTGTGTGTGTGTATGTATGTATGTATGTATGTATGTATGTATGTATTGGTTATGTGGCAAAAAACGGAAAGTTGTAGAGAATGTTTTTTAAAATGCATATCATAGTGGTGACATAATTTGATAACCGGAGTAATTCGGTTATAATCAGTGCTAAGTATATTTGATTTAAATATTTGGCTTGGATAGAGGCCCTCCCAGCAAGCATAAAAGAACATAAAAAGCATTAATTTTGGATGTAAAGAGACTGAACTGATGCCGTTACCATATTAGTTCCAGCATGCATAGATGAATTTGCATATCATGCTAAATCACGAGGTAGTTTACTGTTTTGCAGTTGATTTATCAAGTGACATGAACCCAGCAATTGTGGTTTGCAACCAAGTTTCATAGCTTACATGAATAAAGTACATTTTATTCAAGAAATCGTGATTAAACAGACCTTAGATTAGCCTGATAAGTGAATCTAATCATATTTTAGATGTGGCCATTCCTTGCAAACTAATATATCTGTGCCAAGTTTGTACCACTTTGGACTGCAAACTTAGGTGTCATTTGGTCCCTATTTTAAAAATGTCTTTACATTAAAAAAAAACCTGTGTCGCAGAAAAGTCTAATTTAGACTACTTTTGTGGATTTAAAAAAGTAATAATATTCAGCCTTTAACATTAATTATGTACAACTAAATATTTTCTTACTACTAAATGAGATTAATTTTTAAAATACTTTTATTATTTAGTTAGCCTACATGTTGCTTTTTCCTAAAATAATTTCTTCCAGAGTAGCTTTGCACAATATTTATTTATTTGTTAATTAATTATATATTCCAAACTGCTAAATCTCTCAACTCACAGATGGTGCACCTTGAAAAGATCCTAGCCAATGCTGACTTTTATGTATGTAGATGATGAATGTCTTCTTAAATACTTCTTTGATACCAGAGCAATTTACAGGTTAGAGGATAATTGGAGAGGTACTTGAGAAGTTTGCCACACACAAGGAAGTTATTTGAGATGAAGTCTTTGAGCATTCATATTCTCATCTAAATTTGAAGAAACTACTCATTAGAATGGAAACCAACTTATAAATGCTGGTTGGTGAAAAATATTGGTATGCAAAACATTTCAAATTTGAACTGTTTCAAGCAGAGGCACCAACAGAATCCTACAATTTTATCAGAATAACAAAACGGGCATCACAATATAAGCTATGCTCTTGATATATATGTGTCCAACATCATGATGCATCCATGAAGGAGGGAAGCTTATGCCAGGATATCTGTTTTATCATTCACACAAGCAACCCTTGCCCCCACATGTGCATGTCTCTGGTTTCAAGGTTTAAACACCCCATTGAACAGAGCAAAACAACTATTTTGGGTATGAAATGGGAGGTTAGGTCTTTGTAGAAGTGTTCCAAGTTTCATATAGCTCTATTTCTATATTGGAACACTCTGGAAAGGGTCAAAATGGAAACATATTTCATTCCTATACTTGAAACAATCATTTTTATATCAAAATGGGGAATTTTTGTATATGTGCTTAGTAAAAAGGATTGAATTGGAAATAGGAAATTATACAACATTATAAAACTGTCAGGTTTCCATGAAGGAAAATCAGTCCTTGATCTAGAACAAATTGAGCTCAATTGTTATTGTTGTTGTTGGTTTTTTTTTTAAAAAAAGCACCAAATCCCATTTTTAATGGCATTACTGTTGTGTGTTTTTGACAAGTATTTTTTAGATTTGCTGAGTAATTCTTTTCTTGGAAAATTTGAATGTATCTTCTAGAAATCATTACTTCTGATATAGATTACAGGTATAAAATGTTGCCTTATCTAAAGTATTTGTTGCCTTGGCTTATAATTCGTTATCTTGTCCACTGCTATGTTGACTTTTTCCTTCTGATGATTATCTCATTTGCAAAACCATTTTTTAATAACAGCAGAGCATTTGCTCTGAAAATTTGCTAAGTAATAAGGGCTTATGGAGATTAGAAAATCTTTATTGAATCTATATAAAATATTGTTTCCATAGGGGTCCATGGGAAGATCACATGTAGAATATAACTGAAATGGTGCCCTGCTTCCATAGTAGACAATATTCAGAGGCATAGTCCTCTGGTAGTCATATTATTTTATAGTCCATTCCATGAACTTTTTTTTTTTTTTTTTTTGATTTTGATTTTATTGACATTTGTAGGCCGCCCTTTTCCCTGAGGGGACTCAGGGCGGCTCACATAAAATCAGGGAAGGGGAAATGCA